TGGTTTGTAGAAAGTTCCATTCCAAGTGAAGTATGTATTGGATAAACAGTGTCTCACCAGGGGGGGGGGGGGGGTACCTCAGTTTTTAGTCCTTGATGAACCAAGTCTTCAATGATTGCGATGGTGTCAGGTACAGGAACCTTGGTGAATAAGGAAACTACATCAAAACTGACAAGCAGGTCGTCTGCGGACAGGGAAATACCCTTGATTGTCGATACCAGGTGAGTAGAATTTTGTACCGCAGAGGTAGTTTTTCCAGTGAAAGGACGCAGGATTTCAGACAAAAAACGAGCCAGTTTGTAGGTGGGGGAGTTGATAGTAGAGACGATGGGACGAAGGGGTGTATCTACTTTATGTATTTTTGGTAAGCCGTATAATCTTGGTGGCCTGGCAGCAGAAGGTTTCAACGAAAACTGTTTAGATTGATCAATTAATGCGGTTGCATCAGAAATTATTTTGTTGTTTGTGTGACGAGGCTGTTGGTGAGATCTTTTTTTATTTTTGTATAACTACCATCGTCGAGTAATTCTTTAATTTTGTTGTTATATTCTATTTTATCCATGATGACAGTAGCATTGCCCTTGTCAGCTGAGAGGACTATAATGTCATCCCTCTTTTTTAATTTATATAATTCAAAACGCTCATCTTTGCTGAGGTTGCTAGCTGGCATCTTAGCGTTTTTGAGGGTTGCAGCGATTTCAGATCTTGCTACGTCTGCAGCGATGTGACCCAGGCCCCTGAGAGCACGTCTACTTGGGCAATTATATCATTAACTGGTATGTGTTTAGGTGTGACTGCAAAGTTTAGACCTTTAGCTAAAACGGATTTCAGACCATCGGAAATAGAACTGTTACTGCGATTAATTACGACTTTGTTAACGTCTAACTTTTTGGTGTGTGGGTCCGGTCTTTTGTTGAAGAGGAGGTTAAATTTGGAAATCAGGTTGTCTTTACATTTGGTCGACATAGTAGCAGCTGAAGAGGCAGTCATATTGTCTACATGTTCCCAATCCGATGTGGACATTGTTGCCGTCAATGATAAGTGTGATTTGTAGAGTGTCTTGTCTAACTGATCTAGTTCGGTGTGTATAAGTCTGATTTTCTCTGAGATAAGAGCTAAGCTAGTTTTGAAAAGAATTCGTGTCGCATTAGAAGAAGTTACAGCAGCAGAGGTCAGTGTAAATGCGATTGGTATTACCCCAGAGTCGCGGCATCTCTTCAGAAAGGTGAGAGACTCGATCAGCTGAGCCTTCTTATCCCGGAGTTTGTTGAAGGATCTTAAAGTTATGTGGAAACCCTCCCCGTAGAGGCGGTTAAATTTTGATGTAAAGCTTTCATGACTGCAGTAATTCATATTCTTAGCTCTTTCGGTAAAGTCACGTTGAAGGGAAACAATAAAATAATAATATATATAAACAATTAAAATTCTCACGTTTCGACAATAACACAAACGGTCGTCATCAGGTGTGAAAAAACCAATGGCAAGAAACATTTGAAAGAAGTGTCGGTTTGCATTAATTTAATTATTTTAAACGGTGCACTTATTTAATTATTAAAAACCCGTCAGCGCCACGCGCAGCGATTTGGCAGTTTATTTAGAAGGACTAGTCCATCTATGTTCTGAAAAGAGGGGGGAGACGAAAAATTAATGTATGCTGTCTGAAAGCCACCGTAAGCGTGAACAATCAATTAAGACCTGAAATGGTTTACTAAGCCAGAATCCATCTTCTCGGTTGAAATTGTCTCTGTGCTTGTATATGTGGATAGCCTCATGAGCGAATCTCTCATGGTAGCCAGATGGCTTACAAAGAACCTCTGTCTTGGAAAAGTCAATGTCATGCGAGCCTACTGGATTATAACAATGATCTCCCACGGCCGAGGTGTTGGTCCTACCGTGTTTAAGGTCTGCTTTGTGTTCACGAATGCGGTCTGAGACATGGCGTTTGGTTTCTCCAATGTAACTACTACCACAGAGGCAACTTAGTTTGTAGACACCAGGGTACTGTATGTCCGGAATCACATCTATTACAGACGGAACCAGATCACGGATTTTATATAATGTGTTGAAACGGACCTGGATCTTGTGTTTATTCAAGATTTTGAAGATATTTTTTTGTGATCCCCGCAATGTAGGGTAAAGTGATGGTTTTGAAAGTCTCCTCAAGAGCGTCCTTCTTCATGGTTTGAGTGATAGCTTTGCGGATTGTATAGTCGGAGTAACCATTAGCCTTAAGAGCTTGGTGTTTGTGCTTGAGTTCACTGCCTATGTGTTCCTGGTCGGATATACATTGGGCTCTATGGTACAGAGCCTTGATGAGAGAATTCTTCTGTGATGGATGGTGGTGGGAATCCGGTTTCAGATAAGCATCCGTATGGGTAGCTTTCCTGTAGACAGTGGCTCATTGAACCATCAGGTCTCTTTTTTATTAGGACATCCAAAAAAGGTAGCTTGCCATCTTTTTCGACTTCTATGGTAAATCTGATGGCTGGGTGTATGGAATTGATGTGGTCGAAGAATTGGTCTAGAGCAGGCCGGCCATGTGGCCAGATGACAAAAGTGTCATCCACGTACCTCTTCCATAAGGTTGGGCGCAGAGTGGCAGTCTGGATGGCGTCAGTCTCAAATTTCTCCATGAAAATGTTAGCTATAACCGGAGATAGGGGGGAGCCCATTGGGATGCCCTCAGTTTGTTTGTAGAAAGTTCCATTCCAGGTGAAGTATGTGTTGGTTAAGCAGTGTCTCACCAGGGGGGGTACATCAGTATGCCGTCCTTGATGAACCAAGTCTTCAATGATTGCGATGGCGTCAGGTACATGAACTTTGGTGAATAAGGAAACCACTTCAAAACTGACAAGCAGGTCGTCTGGGGACAGGGAAATACCCTTGATTGTCGATACCAGGTGAGTAGAATTTTGTACCGCAGAGGTAGTTTTTCCAGTGAAAGGACGCAGGATTTCAGACAAAAAACGAGCCAGTTTGTAGGTGGGGGAGTTGGAAGGACGTGATAAACCATTTCTGGTCTTGATTGATAGTGTTTTACGGTGACATTCAGATATTGGTGTCGTTTATATTTTAACTTGTTTATCGGTTCACTATATGGTAGTCATATCGTGTAGTGTATACCCAGTTACTTAATGTTAATAGCTCAACTTATTGGAGAATATATTGAGTACATTGATTATAGTGATGTAGTTTATATTTAGTTCTTTCACATCGGTTTATTGTATGATCGTTGGGTAGTTGCAGTTCTTTAGCGTTAATATAATAAATGCCTTTGTTGATATGTAAACTCTGACTTTAACATATCCACTTCCGTGACCAGTTACATGCTAATTCCTCACATTAACATCCTGCTGTCTTAGTACCTTTCAGTGTAATGTTTAATATAATTTACTTGCTAATATATAGTATCGTAATTGTATAGCGAATATACAGCAGTGTAGTATACAGTAGGGTTGGTAAAATAATACATAGTGTAATATGACAAGTCTAATATTATTATAATCTAAGGTAGTGTATAGTAACGCAGTGTAAAATTCAATGTTGGGGTCTGTCTATGGCAGTTTATAATAAAAAAAAATAGTTGGAGGCATATTATAATTTTTGCGACATAGAAGTGTAAAGTATAATGATTTAATGTTAGTAGCTCAGCTTAGTGGAGAATATATTAAGTACATTGATTATATTGACGTAGTTTATATTTAGTTCTTTCACATCGGTTTATTGTATGATATTTGGATAGTTGCAGTTCTTTAGCGTCAATATACTAAATCCCTCTGTTGATATGTAAACTCTGACTTTAACATCGCTACTTCCGTGACCAGTTACATGCTAATTCCTCACATTAACATCATGCTAATCTCCCAGTTACATGCTAATTTGTGACTTTAACATCCTGCTAATCTCGCACATTAACATAGCTACTTCAATGCTAAATTCTTCTGTTGATATGCAAACTCCTTTGTCATGGCACTCTGCTCCTCCCACGCAGCTTAAAATACTCTGCCAAGCTTAGCAGTGTTCATTGGAGCGCTGTCTTTCCGACAGCTGTTTCTTCACCTGAGGACAGCTTCTTGTGTTGTGGCCGAAACGTCGTGAGAATTTTTATTTAATTGGTTAATTTTTATTATTTTATTATTTCCCTTATACGTGACTTTACCAAAATAACCAAGAAGTTAGCATAAATTCGGATAATTACACGTTTTTAAACTTCAATTCATTTTTATTATTTTTATTAAATTTTCAAGACCCGCCATATACAACACAGCGTCAAGATGCAGAACTTTACTCTCATTCGACACCTTTGGACTGCAACTCGCGACTGAGTGCAATAATACATTGTGTGCGATTCGTCACGTGAAAAGTTTAAGCCGGCTTCTTAGACTATGCACTGTAAGCATACTATACATCACCAGACATACACACATTTCACCACACATTACAAAATTTACCACATACTAGTATTACTATGAGCTGCATACTTGACACTACACTATGCAAGGTGCGTGCATAGCCATTAGGTGGGATGTACAGTACACTTTCAGACCTCTGCTGGTACCATTTATATATATTTAGTGTATAAAGCCAAATATAAATATTCCAAAAATGGTTACCTTTTCTTTTTTTTAAAGGGCATTTAAAAACCAATCATAAAAACAGATTGGGAGCATGCAGAAAGGCACGGCCACACCTGACAGCTACTTTAATAGTAATGCCCAACAGTTATAATTCATATTTATTCATTTAATACGTAACCATACAAAAACATTCTAATTCGTGTTTTATAAGGAAGCATAATGCTTTGCATATCGACTATTAAACGTCGACACTCAATAACTTCATATGCACAGAAAGCCCATCTATGCTTGGATGACACTAAACCCCTATGCATTCTTGAAATGACAGAAGCCTGTGAATAAGGCGAATGCTATGGAAAATTGTCTCAAACTCCAGGTTACACATCTTCCAAGGTGCCATTTCACACGTGCTGGCCCCTCCTACTCAGCTTTGTCCAAAAACTCCACCCACACCTCCACATCCACAAACTGCTGGGGATTGCCTCGCTCTCCTTCAGAATCGGAATGCTCCTCCTGCTTCACGCTGCCTCCATCCACTTGTAGATTGGGTCCTGGAGTCGAATCTTCAAATTTCACCGTCACTTCTTCACATTTAACGTCTTCACATTTCACTGTCACTCCTGGCCGTGTTCCCAAGTGGGAATTTTCTTCTGATTCTCGTTTCATGAGAGATGGGCTCATTGCAGCATGTTGACTTTCACGAGTCGATTTCACTTTCTCCTTGTGGATTTTCTCATGCCTCTTTAGGTTTCCTGATAATGTAAACTCCTTCCCACACACAGTGCACTTGAAGGGCTTCTCACCCATGTGTGTTCTATTATGTTTCTTAAGAATTTCTGACTCTGCAAATCCCTTACCACACACAGTGCACTTGAAGGGCTTCTCGCCCGTGTGTGTTCTATTATGTTTCTTAAGATATGCCGACTCTGCAAATGCCTTACCACATACACAGCACTTGAAGGGCCTCTCGCCTCTGTGTCTTCTCTGATGCATTTGAAGAGTGCTTGAATGAGCAAGTGCCTTCCCACACACAGTGCACTTGAAGAGCTTCTCACCCATGTGTGTACTTTGATGAATATGAAGAGTTTCTGAACGAGCAAATGCCTTCCCACACACAGTGCACTTGAAGGGCTTCTCGCCGGTGTGTGTACTTTGATGAAAATGAAGAGTTTTTGAACGGGCAAATGTCTTCCCACACACAGTGCACTTGAAGGGCTTCTCACCGGTGTGTGTTCTCTGATGAATATGAAGAGTTTCTGAACGAGCAAATGTCTTGCCACACACAGTGCACTTGAAGGGCTTCTCGCCGGTGTGTATTCTAATATGTTTCTTAAGGTATGCTGACTCTGCAAATGCCTTATCACATACACTGCACTTGAAGGACCTCTCGCCTGTGTGTGTTCTCTGATGAATTTGAAGAGTGTTTGAATGAGCAAATGACTTTCCACACACAGTGCACTTGAAGGGCTTCTCACCGGTGTGTGTTCTCTGATGAATATGAAGAGTTAATGATTGAGCAAATGCCTTCCCACACACAGTGCACTTGAAGGGCTTCTCACCGGTGTGTGTTCTCTGATGAATATGAAGAGCTTCTGAACGAGCAAATGTCTTGCCACACACAGTGCACTTGAAGGGCTTCTCGCCGATGTGTGTTTTAATATGTTTCTTAAGATATGCTGACACGGCAAATGCCTTACCACATACACTGCACTTGAAGGGTTCCCCGCCTGTGTGTAATCTCTGATGAATATGAAGAGTTTTTAATTGAGCAAATGACTTCCCACACACAGTGCACTTGAAGGGCTTCTCACCAGTGTGTGTTCTCTGATGAATTTTAAGAGTTTCTAAAAGAGCAAGTGTCTTGCCACACACAGTGCACTTGAAGGGCTTCTCGCCCGCATGTGTTCTATTATGTTTCTTAAGAAAAATGGATTCTGCAAATGCCTTACCACATACACTGCACTTGAAGGACTTCTCTCCTGTGTGTTTTGTTTGATGTCTCTTCAAGTTACCCATCTGATCAGTGCTATATGGACACTGGATGCATTGGTGCCTTTTACTTCCAGCCTTTGCCGAGCCTCTCTTCTTCATGCGATTGATTCTGCAGACACATACATATTACACACAATATACAGGCAGAACTCGGTTAGTGCGACCCTTAGAGTGTCGATTTGTTATAGTGCTCTTTGTCCTGGATATTTCTGTTCGTATTTTTTTTAAGTTTACAAAGTGCTCACGAGTGAGACCACGCAGCAGCGCTAGCCAAGCAAACGTACCCGGCCCCAATGTTCACCCGGCCAATGAGAGTGACGCATGCTCTCAGCCAACCAAACCCCACCCCCTGCGATTTAATTATCACGATTCGTGGTAATGATTATATTTAAAAAAAAAACATTTACTTGTTTAGTCAGTTGAGAACTCAAACGACCAGGATAGAGTATCAGGCTCCACCTAAAAAAACCTCGCCACACAAATTTAGATTGAGGGCTTCACTAAGATCAGGGAGGTCCTGATGCCTTTCTCTGAGAATGAACCGGACTGGAAGCGCAGCAGCTCCTTCAACTTTGTCTCCCTCCACTGACTTGTAGGATTAGTAAAGTAGAATGCACTCGTAAGTATAGTACGTAATACTGATGTTATAAATAATTATTTTTATTAAATGTTTAGCATCTGTATTATTATTAGCGCTATTAGCGATACCCAAATGAAGCCCTCATATTATTCATACTAAAGATATAACATTGTCAGGAACGCATCGCTATGTAGTATACAATGGGTTTATGATGATACCTTACAGCGCTGATCGATTGGCGCTCAATTCTCCAGGAACAATGCATCTGGAGGAGCGCGAAGTGAGCATTGGGTGTAAAGGGCAAGGGCACTCACACTGACTTGGAAGCCACTGGTCAGTCTGCCTCCTCACTCAGTGACAGGGAAGGTTTTGCCCAAGCACTGTCCAAGCAGGCTGAACCCACTGCCGTGCAAACGTCACCAATCCAGCATTCCAGGTTCACCACTCTGGTCAAATGAAGCAGTCATCCTGATTAGTAAGACAGAGTCGAAAGATATAATTAAGTCCGTCTTGAAAACTCACCTATTTAAACTTTGTCTTTTTGTGTGCGTGGGCGAGTGTTTGAGCGGGCCCGGGTAAAACTACGTGGACGGGAGTCAGAACAATTCCCTGTACACCTTGGGGTGCCACAGGGATGTCCTCTGGCTCCCACATTATTTAACATTTATTTTGACCACGTAGTTCATGAAGCCTTCAATAGTTGTACCGGGGGAATCTTCATTTGGCACAGATATAATGGGAGGCTGATCGATGCCCAGGTGCAGTCAAGGGATGGCTCCCTATTGCTCAACTACGTTATGTATGCCGATGATTTGGTAATAGCTGCTCATTCAGAGGAGGAGTTGGAGACGCTGCTGCTGAGACTGGAGCGTGCCACTAACACAACTCCCAATCGGTGATGGGGCAGTTGTGGAGGGAGTGGAGAGTTTCCCATACCTGGGCAGTGTGCTTATGACTGGCTCCAGTTTAACAGCAGAGTTCTCACTCCGAATCAGTCGAGCAGCAATATCTTTTCATCGGTTGCGTAATGCTGTGTGGAAGCTACCTGGTCTGTTGCTCCGCACTAAGCTTCAGGTCTTTTCGGCCACGGTCATTCCCTCCCTTCTCTACGCTTGCGAAACGTGGACCCCCATAATGGAGCATCTTCGCCGGTTGGAAACATTTAGGCTGGCCTGCCTACGATCCATCCTGGGTTTAACCAGGCTGGATTGTGTGAGGAGCTCACAAATCCTCGAAAGATCTGGGCAAGGTCCCATCGGTGAGCTCCTCCGGCAGGCAAGGCTGCATTGGCTGGGTCATGTAGCCCGCATACCCAGCCACCGCATGCCGAAACAGCTTTTGTTCGCCTGGATTGTGGGAGCTAAACGGGCGCGGCATGGGCTAGAGAAGAGATGGAGTGATGTGGTACAGGAGGACGTGGAACTGAGTGGACTTGCCGATGACTGGTACCAGCGGTGTCAAGATCGGCCTCTGTGGAGGAGGCTCGTGAAGGACGCTATTGGGCAGTTGGAGGCAGTCGCCCTCCAACAACAACGGAGGGTGGAGGAGCGACGCTCACTACAACGAGCGGAGCGCCGGGTGGCTAAAGCACAGCAGGTTGGCACGGTAGGGGGCACAGGTGGTGCACCAGCCAGTCATCTCAGTCAGTCGACCCGTGGCACCTGGGTCTGCCCCCGTGACCTCCTGCCCGCGGGCATTCGACACTCCACGTGGCCTCAAGGTGCACATGGCCTGGCACAAGCGTCGTGGTGACATCACCGCCACTTAGTGGCGAATGGCGGTTGTTGTTGTTGTGGGTGGGCGGTAGCGTATCGGTTAGCGCACTGTGCTATGAACCCGGCAACCCGGGTTCGATTTCCCCTCAAAGCCAACACGAGTGACAAATATCCGAACTGGTCCTAGGCCTCCCCTAGGTCAACTCGGCCTCAAATGAGTACCTGGTGCGGTGTGTAAACATCGCCACTCGGGAGACAAAGGGAGTCCGGGGGTGGTGCTGGTCACCCACCCCTTCGTGTGCCGTGCCGGCCTTCATAGATGCTCGCTAACAGTGGGCGAGTGTTTAAGTGTTCGAGTGGGAGCGTGTGGGTGAGCGTGTTGGTGGGCGAGTGTAATTGTGTAATGCTTTGACGTCTCATTCCGACTAAAATTAAACGTCTGGACTGGTATCGTCCGAATATTCCAGTGTTATGAGACCTCCTTTGCCAGTAACAAGATATAGGAATAGGTTTTACCCTTTTAACTGGCACAAAAACTGACACCTTTATTCAAGGGATCATGTTTGCGATAACCACAACACAAGCAGTCAAAATGCAAACAAAAAAGACAACTCTGATAATAATATGCACTGTCCTTGAATTTGATTGGTCCACACCCGAGACGGCTTTCTTTACAGCCTAGTCTCCATTGGTGTTTTCTGGTCCAACACCAATGGAGACTAGGCTCTAAGAAAAGCCGTCTCGGGTGTGGACCAATCAAATTCAAGGACAGTGCATATCATGATCAGAGTTGTCTTTTTTGTTGGCATTTTGACTGCTTGTGTTGTGGTTATCGCAAACATGATCCCTTGAATAAAGGTGTCAGTTTTTGTGCCAGTTAAAAGGGTAAAACCTATTCCTATATTCCAGTGTTGACAAGCGCCCTGCAGATTACTCAATCGGGAATACGCGCAGAAGCATCGCCCCCCTCCCCCCCCCCCTGAATGCCAAAACAAAAACTCGATGATCGTGAACTAGAGTATGGAGATTCTGAGAGGTGAAGTAGTCAGCCAGGTGAAGACAAATTAAACTTAAGAGAATCAAAACAAAGTCAGTCAGGCAAGGGCAGGAGGCAAGGCCTGCATGGCTCGGCCCCACGTAGTAACGTTCCAACCTGGACATCGATTCCATACTTGCCGCTACTCAATTGCTATCGCTACGAGAGAGGGAAGAAGCGAGGCTGTACCTGGGTGAACAACAACAACAACCAACATCACGATGTGAACTTCTCACCTCCGATCCTAGAGAGTTGCGCGCACAGAAGCAGCTCCTGGGATCTCATGACGTCACACGGAAGCACGCAGCGGGAGAGATGACATGACGTCACTAGCACGCACATCGCCCTCCTCAAGATAACGCGAACGTGTATTCATAAATTATGTTAACGACGCGTACCCATATTTGGAGTGATTGGGCGTGGCTGCGAAAATATCGTTAATGAGCCGCCAGTGGTATTTGTTTTACTGGAATGGAAACCGGAAGCGACCAAGCAGACTCAACATACAACGTCACCCCGGGCTTTTGAAGTTAAGGGAATAATAAAAGTTTACACTAATTCGCAAAAATTGGTTCTGCTGAAACAGAAGTTTTCAGTTTCAATTTCAGTTTTAGGTATAACCTTGTGAGCCATGCGGCTCTTGACTCAGGTGCAACCTGAACAAAACAAAAACATGAACAAGAAACATCTTAAAGTGACTACATGCATCAGAAAATCCTGGAAAAAACAGCAAAGTCTTCCAGAAAAAACACCGTACTTCAACGCTGTGTGCAAAAAATCCCTGTGGGATGCAAGTCAAACAATAACAACCATAAGACAATGCAGATTAAAGTTATCAGGCTAACTCTGTACTACAACAAACAAACATGGCTAAACCAAAACGTTTTCAAAATCACCAAAATAAAGCTATCTTGTATCTTGGTCCACCTGTGAAGGATGAAGGCAAAATAACGAATCTCCCCACATTCTGAGCGTTTGCATCTCCCTCAGCATTGATAGCATCCCTGAGATGAGCATACTGTTCTACACGCAGGCGTTTTTGATTCAGTTGAATGTAAAGAAGGTGCTCACTCTCAATTTTGGCATACTCATCGACAACATACAACAGATTTTGATTTAAAGCTTTCGTGACTGCAGTAATTCATATTCTTAGCTCTTTCTGTAAAGTCACGTTGAAGGGAAACAACAAAATAATCAAATATATATAAAACAATAAAAATTCTCACGACGTTTCGACCATAACTCAAACGGTCGTCTGTGTTATGGTCGAAACGTCGTGAGAATTTTTATTGTTTTATATATATTATATTATTTTGTTGTTTCCCTTCAACGTGACTTTACCGAAAGAGCTAAGAATATGAACATACAACAGGTTATCATTCAGAGAATCGTCATCGGTGTTGGGGGCCGTCCATAAATTACGTCACGCACCTAGGGGGGGTCAGACATTTGTGACGATGTGTGACGAGAGGGGGAGGGGGGGTTTGAGAAATGTGACGTCACATCAAAATGCGCAACTTTAAATAAATAAACAACACGTTCTACTTATATTCTTAGTTCTTTCGGTAAAGTCACGTAGAAGGGAAACAATAAAATAATAAAAATATAAAACACTAAAATTATCACGACGTTTCGACTGCAACACAAGCAATCATCATTAGGTGTGAAAACCACAGCAAGAAAAACGTAAAGCTGTCGTGATTGCAGGAATTCATATTCTTGGGTCTTTCGGTAAAGTCACGTAGAAAGCTTCAAAGAAAATTATAAAAAAATAACAGAAAACTACGACGTTTTGATCGCATTGCGATTAAAATGTAGTTTTCTGTTATTTGTATTATTGTACTTGTAGGAACCTCCTGGTTACACCAGCCCACAGGGGATTATTGTGTCCGTCCATCGTGCATCCAAAAATGGGAGGGGTAGGGCTGGGTGGAGAGGGGAGGGTGGAGAGGGGCTGGGTGGGGAGGGAGGGGCTGGGTGGGGAGGGGCGGATGGGGAGGGGTTGGGTGGGGAGGGTGAGGCTGAGTGGGGGGTGGGAGGGTAAGGTGGTGCCCACCATTCCTAACCATCCAACCACTTGAACGGAATCCCTGTGTGGTTGAACCAGAACAGCCAACGCGTCGTCGGGTTGTCGTGTGCGGCGACCGAAGAGCGAGGATCGAAGAAGGCGACTTCTTTTATGGGTTGAACAGCCACTCTCCCTCTCGGGACTCGGCTTATATCTCCTGTGGCGTGACCGGGCTCCGCCCCTGGTCACGCCCCCTTCTCGATCCTTCACGGAGGCTCTGGGTCCACATCACGTAGCCCGCTCACCCCCTCCTGGGGGGGGTCCCTTTCCCCCCTCGCCCGGTCACATGCTCTCGCGGGTTCACACAGGATATCATGTCCTGACCCGACCTCAGTGATTCCCGGACCTTGCCATCTAGTCTCTAGTGAGCCATTCTGTGCCATGCTCACACTGGTGCCATAGAGCGGCACCACGCGTACAGAATCACTCTTCACTCGGTACTGTCGCTACACAGTAGTGACACCATTTATGTCACTACACATCTATTCCTATGGGGGAACAGTCCCCCCGCTATACATCGATACATCGTTTCGTTGTAAGTCGCAACGTTTCGGTCCCTAACCCGACATATATTGGGGACCCCCTCTAATACAAATACTGTACTGTACACAGACGCATATGTTGACTCAAACGCACATGAATGGAAAAATTAAGCGTGCCAAATAGACTGCTAAGAATTACATTAATCAATAAATAACGATATATTAACGCACACTAATACCACATCTAGATACCTACCAGGGACGTGCGGTCAGGGGAGGCAGGGGAGGCAGAGCCTCGCGTGTCATACTCCAATGACCACGTGTGCAGAGACCTCGCCGTGGCACAACGTGTGTTGGGGCGGTACAGGAGGACAACCAGTGTGCCGTGCACTTGGTTAAACAATAGGGGGGCGGGCGTCGGAGAGGGGACTGACCCGATTGGCCAAGAGTGTTAGCTTTGATGTAAGAGGATAAAAAGGGACAAAAATCAGGAGCAAAGCTGATTTTGCCCGGGGTCTGTTGGAGTGAAGGACCGAGGAGTGATCGTCCTCTGCTACGCGAACATCCGTGGGATGGGTCGCAGAGCAGCCAGATCCAGTGCCCAGCAAAGAGCCACGTGTAGCCTCGTCTTTCCGCGACTTCCAACACCACGAGGTCGGATCGTAAGTACGAAGAGGAGAGGTAAGGCAAAGGGGAATATCTAATAGAGAGAGTGAGTAGGGAGAAGTCAGGCTAATTGAGTCTTAGACCATAGAGAGAAAGGTTAGATCTGCACTGCTGGTCCACACTGACACAGATAGGTTAGCTTCATTAATCGAGGAATAAATTGTCAGTAGACATTAAACTTTGTCGTGCTGTCTCTGTGAGTACGCCAGGGTACTGTATGTCCGGAATCACATCTTTTACAGACGGAACCATATCATGGATTTTATGTAATGTGTTGAATCGGACCTTTATCAATTCCATACACCCAGTCATCAGATTTACCATGGAAGTCGAAAAAGATGGCAAGCTGCCTCTGTGGTAGTAGTTACGTTGGAGAAACCAAACGACATGTCTCGGACCGCATTCGTGAACACAAAGCAGACCTAAAACACGGTAAGACCAACACCTCGGCCGTGGCAGATCACTGTTATAATTGAGTGGGCTCACATGACATTGACTTCTCCAAGACAGAGGTTCTTTGCAAGCCATCTGGCTACCATGAAAGATTCGTTCATGAGGCTATCCACATATAGAAACACAGAGACAATTTCAACCGAGAAGATGGATTTTGGCTTAGCAATCATTGGAAGAATTTGATAAACCATTTCGGGTCTTAATTGATTGTTCACGCTTACGGTGGCTTTCAGACCGCGTCCATTATTTTCGTCTCCCCCCTCCTCTTTTCCGAACATAGATGGACTCGAAACGTCGTGAGAATTTTATTGTTTTATATTTTTATTATTTTATTGTTTCCCTTCTACGTGACTTTACCGAAAGAACCAAGAATATGAATCCCTGCAGTCACGAAAGCTTTAAATCAAAATTTTGCTGTTGTGTTCCCAGGTACAGCCTTGCTTCTTCCTTCTCTCTCTCTCGTAGCGATATCAATTGAGTAGCGGCAAGTATGGAATCGATGTTCAGGTTGGAACATTACTACGTGGGGCCGAGCCATGCAAGCCTTGCCTCTTGCCCATGCCTGACTGACTGTGCTTTGATTCTCTTAAGTTTAATTTGTCTTCACCTGGCTGACTACTTTACCTCTCAAAGTCTCCATACTCTAGTGCAGGATGATCAAGTTTTTGTTTTGTTTTGCATTCGGGGAGGGGGGGGGGGTGGCGATGCTTTTGCGCGTATTCCCGATTGAGTAATATGCAGGCCGCTTTTCACCACTGGAATATTCGGACGATACCAGTCCAGACGTTTAATTTTAGTCGGAATGAGACCTCAAAGCATTCCACAATTACACTCGCCCACCAACACGCTCACCCACATGCTCCCACTCATACACTTACACACTCACCCACTGTCAGCGAGCATCGAAGAAGGCCGGCACGGCACACGAGGCCGAGTTGTCCTCGGGGAGGCCGAGGACCAGTTCAGATATTTGTCACTAGTTTTGACTTTGAGAGGAAATCGAACCCGGGTCACCAGGTCCGTAGCACAGTGCGTTAACCGCTATATTACCGCCCACCCACCAACACACACAACAACAACCGCCATTCGCTACTAAGTGGCAGTGACGTCACCATGACGCTTGTGCCAGACTATGTGCACCTTGAGGCCACATGAAGTGTCGAACGCCTGCTGGCAGGAGGTCACGGGGCAGACCCAGATGCCACAGGTCGACTGACTGAGACGACTGGCTGATGCACCACCTGTGCCCCCTACTGTGCCAACTTGCTGTGCTTTATCCGCCCGGCGCTCCGCTCGTTGTTGTGAGTGTCGCTCCTCCGCCCTCTGTTGTTGGGCGACTGCCTCCAATGCCCAGTAGCATCCTTCACGAGCCTCTTTCACAGAGGCCGATCTTGACACCGCTGGTACCAGTCATCAGCAAGTCCACTCAGCTCCACATCCTTCTGTACCACTCCATCTCTTCTCTAGCCCGTGCCGCGCCTGTTTAGCCCCCTCGATCTGGCCGAACAAAAGCTGTTTCGGCATGCGGTGGCTGGGCATGTGGGATACATGACCCAGCCAACGTAGCCTTGCCTGCCGGAGGAGCTCACCGATGGGACATTGTTCACATTATTTAAGGATTTGTGAACTCTCACAATCCAGCCTGGTTAAACCTAGGATGGATCGTAGGCAGGCCAGCCTAAATGTTTCTAACCA